ATATTCAGTATCTACTTCTTGTTTATGGAATACGACAAAGCTTTAACTAAAACTGAATTAGGTCAGCACAAAAAGGTCAGTAGTTCTCAAATCCTTCAAAGACGTGCCTAGACTAAAACCATCTACAAAATGTTTATCCTTTCTATATTCTTCTGTTGAGCTAAAGGAATATATAAACAATTGTTCTTTTACAGATCAGTCTAATCAGAGTAGGTAGATATAAAATCTTTGGGATTATTTCTAGGTTATTTCCAATGAAAATATATAATCGCCTGTTATGTTGTATAAAATGCTACACTATTTTGCTAACAACGCTTACATATCCAAATGGCAAAAGTGTATTAAAGTTTAAAAGCAGAAAGAAAAAAACAATTACAGACCATTTTTTACCACACATTTTGTAGTTCATACTGATGTCTAGCCTCTCGCAACATAGCCAGCTAGTTAAGCTGTGAAAAGTAAAGCATTAATAAATTATTCACTCGACATTAAAGGAACTCAATTTAATTAAGTCTTTACAAATGCTGACACGAAAGCGCCGCAGGCGTAGGTATTGCATCAAGAATTCTTAATAATAACCAATTTTTGCCGTTGGTTAATAATGCAGCAGTAAATTAAAGCTTTAATATAACGGAAGCCGGAGCAGCGGACTGTACACTTGGCTTCAGTTAGGCGGAAAGTGGGCCAGGTCACGAAAAATAGCGAATACCAAATAAGTATACTCTTATGCATATATATCTTCACTTTTCCTTCAGAATCTAAACTTATCTACAATCTGAATTTTGATTTACCTGAGAAGTTTTTATCAGCGAATTCAAACAACGACTTAGGTTATATTTCGGCAAATATGTATTCACGTTTGCTCAATAACTGTGCAAATATAAAATCTGAAGAATCGTTAGCGTTATGAATTAATTAAAATAAATCTACGTACTTTTAACGATAATAATTCTGTTATAGACATGTTTTTTACAAATTTGCTCCGTTTTAAGATATTTTGTAAACGATATTAATCAATTTTTGTATGGGGGTGTAGTACGTTTACTTTTTTATTTACTGTACCCTTTAATACAATACTGTACAATATCGAATTCGTAACGTTTGCGAGTCCGAAGTGTCATTGTCAAATGTGTACAGATGTTTAAGTTCTCGTTACGGACTTTGTGGCGCTGCTGTTCAAGTTTTCATACTAAATTTGACATTGACATTTCGCACTCGCAAACTTTTCGAATTCGATAAATGTTCGTGCTAGGGGTACTGTTCCCACTATTTTTATTTACACGTATTTTAAGTTGCTCAGTTAACTCAAAATCACGGTGTTTAATTGCAGCTACCTATTATAAATCTAGGTCTGTAATCATACTTATACTTTATTTTCAAGCTCCGCCGCTGCCTAGCCTGATCTCTACCCCGTAGGGAATGGCATCAGAGTAGGCAACGGCGTAAGTGATATTTTTGGTATCGTAAGCCTCTATAGGCTATGGTGATCGCTTACAATCGGGTGAGTCTTCAGAATAATGGCGGAGCGTTGTAAAGCTTGGTTAAAAAATGTTGGAGCACAGCTTGGAAAAAGCCATGTCATACAAGAACCATGGTGATAAGATACCAAACCAGTGTCTACAACTACAGCGAAATCCATGAGTCCATGGCTTACAAACCTTGTACGTTGACAGGCCCTTTTTACTGCATCCACATCAAAGATTTATAGACTTTTATCACCTCCACGATGAAGGAAGCACCTTTTATGTATTATTCAAGAAAGTACTTTTTAGCTGGTTATTATATCAACAAGGTTTCATGTCGCTAGTAACGAAAACTTGTAAACGTAAGCCTTAGTAAATGAACTAGTGGGATCGTCATGTAATGAGGCCAATGCAATTGCAACAGCTATCTAGGGGGCTATCGCAGAAGCAACGGATAAATGCGCCAGAGGTAAACTAGGTCAGGGATTACACGGCAACACGTGTTCCTAAGTTATGGTCCCCCGAGTGACGTTTGCTATCGACTAGTAAGCCTCGAATTTATTTCACGAGACACACATAAAGAGTCGATATCTGGAATAGGTAACAAAGAAATATTTATAACGCTGCATTCGAATTCACGTGGATCGTATAGAGATAAAAGTCGTGATGTATGTTTGGAAAGGCCGACTCTTATTCTGTTGAATAGTTTAAAAGAACAGGATAAACTTAGAAGAAAAATATTGTAGTAGTTCCGCTGAATAGTAGAACATTTCTCTATTGAAATTTAGCAGATTTTCTTCAACAATACCGCCATCTACACCTTTACATTATGTGACACCTACATTAATATGAGAACATAAATAGATCATTGCTCTTTATACAGGATTATGGGAACCTATAAAAATATTTGTCTTCCTTGAAAACATTGATTAGACTATACTGAACTTAATCAATACATTGATATAATGCGTTTGTGATACTTTCGATTTCGTTGATTTATTATAATAATTTAGTACATGGAGATTTCGAATATTATCCCCAAAAAATCGGTTTAGAATCTTTTTATTTCGATTACCTACTCTGTATCGTTATTTTTAACACCACTTCAAATACAATCTAAACAAATCGGATGGACCGACTGACAAGGAGGACTCTAAAATTTAAGATTTTTGATACAATAGTACTTCCTTATATAATACATCCTAAAGAATATACTATACGATAGGTGCGATATAAATCGTAAAACCGCTGCACACTTATGCGCCACAACGCAAACTGTTTCGTTGCTGCTTCATTTATCGCTGGCTACACCACGTTAGCTTACCTCGCCGTTTATTTTTATATCATACAAATGTAAGAAACGACATTGATGACGTAATATCTTACGTTGACGTTATTTGGTGATGTCCTTAGCACAGTCGCTGTCCTAGTCTAATATAATACATCTTAAAATATCTCTTAAACGCGATAACTTTTGTGTCTTGAATTCCTACTAGGTTGCAATGACAAGATGACATCAGCAGACATTGTCTGTTTTGTGTCACCATTTTTTAAGCATTTAACTGCTAGATGTTTGAATCTAAAGAAAAGTTTACTAGAAAAAATTCCACGCGGACCAGGCAGTTGACATTGTGGGTTACCTACAATGCGAAAGAGATGGCGCTGCCTTGCAACCTAAGGCTAGAGAAAAATTCGACATGGCCGTCAGGGCCGCAGTAGCATAATGGTTATTTTCATGATTTTCAAGATCTTTCTATTGCACTAGATAGAGGAAAGAGGGTCACTTGAAATCATAACTAGAGCTTAACTAGAGTTATATTAGTAGATAAGAAATAGTTTTTATACCATAAATGGAACATTGGTTATTTCAACGACTGCACCAGGCAGGACAGAACCTTTACCCGAATAGAATAACTAAATTTTCCAAGAAAAAAAACGTATATATGTATAGTTGTCTAACTAGTTAGTGTTGTTAGTGAAAATGTAGCGAACATGCATTCTGCGCCAAATGGTCCTGGGTTCGAATCCCGGTAGCTGTATTTATATTTGCGCAATGAACAGAAATGTTTTGTCCTGAGTCATGAATAGTATGTGCTTATTACTTAAGTTTAAGTTTTTATTTAGTTTCATAAGTACAAGCTCTGCTTAGTTATGGAACTGGTTGTTTTGAGTATTCGATACACTTAAAAACTTTTTATCCTGAAAGCTACTTAGAGCTTGAAAAGAAATAAAATACGTAATACATGGTAACTAACAATTATTCTATTTTGTTACAGGTACAACCACATCCTAACTGAACAGTGACAACTACCAACGAAGCTCCTACAACGATCATCAGAATTGTATCCACATGTAACAAGAATAAAATCGCCAAATAAATCCCATAAATTGAATTTGTTCGAAACGAATGGCGTACAGCCAAAACAAACAATATAAAATACAAGCGAGTTCTGGCATGATTTACAACAAGTCCTTCGGTTAATTCTTGATGAGTTTTCAAAATCCAATATAATAACGTAACGTAAAGCGAGCGCGACCAACAGCTATAAATTCCCGGACGTTCGTAGTCCGTTTGACGGGTGCAACCCCTGAATAATGGGCGGAATTTCGCACCATAGACCAAAACATAAACTATTAAAAGAGACGGCTATAGCCGATGGTACCATTTTATGACCAGCTTTTACATATTGGATGACCATGCAGCCACTTCGGTTGGCAAATGCTCCCGTTTTTTGTTTGCGAGTTAACGCAATGCGTTCTGATTTCGGATACAACCTATAATCCCAGCGAGCATGTCCTGAAGGCCTGTAATTTAATAAATATTTAGGGAATACTTTGCAGCAAACTAAAATCTATTTTGTTGGCTGGCTGACTTGAAATTTGTTTAATCATGATCAAAAAGTATCAGCCAAGTGCGGATAGTTTTTGAAAAGAAACACACACTAGAGGCTCCCTAGAGCATACGCTCTATGATCGCTAGCTATGACATCTAGTAACAAATGCTGACAAAATCCTGTTGAAAAATTCAAACGATTCATGAGATACATTGAGAGACGAACGGACAAAGTGTTGAATCGGTACTAGTGTTCCTTTTTCACTCTTTCCGTACAAATCCTGCAAATTATACTTCGGTGTATAGTAATTAAAGCACTTATTTGTTATCAAAATCAGAAACAACGAAAGTATTTAAGATTTTAACTTTTATTACTTTTTATAAATTATTAAGTAGGTATATTTTTATAATTCAAAATAATCACTGCCTCAAGGGATAATAGGTATGTATACCAAATTTATTTCTCTAAATAATTAAAATATTCTCTGTGAAAATTTACCAAAGCATGCGAGCATATCAAAGAAATGGTGTATAAATAAATTAATATAAAGATTTGATCGACAATCTAACTCTGAAATGATTACTAATTAGACTTTATTGGAGTACTAAAATCACCTATAGAAAATAAAATAACGGGAAAATACATTTAACGATAAAGCTAAAAATAACAAAGTATAAATAATCTTCGAAAATTTTCGTTGCATTTATTCTTCTTCAAGAGCTTCATCTTCTTGGAGTTCTGCTACATCTAGTCCCTTATCTACATCTTCTGATTCAAAGGGTACCTCTGCCTCAATAACAGGAGTTCCTGCTTGATCTTCTATGTTTTCTCCTACCGGAAAATCAGGGTGTGTCTCCTCTGTAGCTTCAACTGTTTGTCCGACCATTTGTAATGGTTCCTTTTCTTGTAGTGGAGTTGCTACTTCAGCTGGCGATACGTCATTAACTACAATTGATTCCGGTTTTGCCTTTGGAGGCTCTTGTGTAGCTTCAATCGGTGCAGGTGCTGAAACAGCTGATGGCGGGGGTATCGTTGCCATAACATCTTTCTTTTCTGTCTTCGCTTTCTTTTTGCGATCCATTGGCAAAAATAGTTTGTATTCATTAGGTAACTCCTCTTCATCATATAAACGCTCACAAAAGTAAATCCGCCTCAATCGGGCATTAGCATGCACCTGCACTCGCAAAGTTTCTATATATTGTGAACCATATGCTCTTCTTGTAAAATCTGCTAAATTGAATTGCACCTGGTTCCAACCTCCTGCTAACCCAATTGGCATAGTAGTGCAGAACGGTTTAATTTTAGTAGTTGATTGAAAGTTTGATATTCTAAACCTTCTCCGCATATTTTTATCATCGAGTATAGTTATTTCAAAAGAGAAGTATCTCTTCAAGTTTTTTACGATCATCACCAAAAATGGCAGCTTTATTCCCAACACTTGATTTTGCTTCGGACATGATATAAAAGTAGTAGCTACATTCGTACTTACAATTTCCAATACTATGGAATTCACTTCAGTATCCGTGAGCCGCTTTATATGACCATTCTTGACTTCCATATCCCAAATTGCCAGTGGATTTGATCCACAGCTATAGAATATAGAAAGCAAACCATTTTGATAAGTATTTTTAAACATTTTGTATATGTCCTAATTAAAAAATAGATATTTACAAGCACAATCACGTCCGTTTTGACAACAAAGCGTGTCATCAGTTGACATTTTTATTTTTCAGCCTGCTGCAAAGAGGTTTAAGGATAAATATCGTAGTTCGCTTGTTGACAAGCGAACTAAGCAAGTGTCAAAATCCATCCATAGTTTTGAAACTATGGATGGATTTTGATAATAAATCCGCAGTTTTATTTAGTACACTTGTTAAAATATAGTGTAAGAGAATTTAGCAAGAAAAAAAAATTATAAACTCATATTATTTTACTGGGTATACTATTTTACAGTTAAATCCTATATCCATGATGAATGATATTACAGTATGATTACAGTAGCGTGCCGCCTTATGTCCCATTTGTGCCCTTTATGCTTACAGTGCGACCATGATCTTGTGGCGCGTGGCCCAAATCGAAACAAATTTAAAGAAGGAAGGAAGCCTTTTAATATTATAAGAAGTTGCAAATAAGCCTTAATATTTCCTAATACGCTTTCCGAGTCATTATTTAATTATAATGTTCCCTTTAGTGAGGAGATTTTACGAACTTCACAATCCTCATTTCACAACTTGTTCACCAACAGCGCCCTCCTGTCAATGTCATAAAAGTGCCACAAGATCTTGGTCGTGCTAGAATGATTTAAAGCATGCGCACCGTTAAGCGGAGCACAAAGCGGGCGTCCGATGCAGAGAACCGAACTGTGCCCCGTCACTCGCGACGCGGACTCCGTCACCCGCGACGCGGACTCCCCGCCACCCGCGCCGAGTGAAGTGGGTCTAAGAAACAAACAGTTGATTGGACCATGAGTCACGTCACGTGTGAGTTAACTATGAATTTTATAATTTTATGAATCTTGACTGATTATAAAATTTTAACAAAACTTGAAAAGAAATAAAATTGTTTCTCATTAATATTACATTCCATTAGAAAATTTCAAAAAAGAAACGTTCATTGAAATAAACTGAGGCAGGCTGTATATTAAAAAATAGCACCAAATAAAAATGGATTTTTAACCATCATTATAATTATTATTAAAATAAAACGTAGATAATGATTTATTTATTATGAATTTATTAGAGTCAATACTACTAACTATGATATCTCATACATATTTATAATTAGAAATACAGTTTGCCTTCAATGATTAATAAAAGATAAAATAAACATCTGATACTTAATAAATCAATGAATTTTACCCAAATTAAGAACTCACAAACTCATACAAGAAAATAATAACACTTCATAAATATACGCATACTAAAAGTAAACTTTTTTGATAAAAAATATGAGTAACTTGAGTCCTATAGTACAATGAGCGATGAGTATTAGGCTTCTACCACTCTTATCTATGCGATAAGAAAATTCATTCGAAAGACTAATTCGTTTAAATACCAAGCCTATTCTGCTGGAGCCTCTTCTGTAGTTATTTCGTCAGGCTGTGTAGGGCCTGGGTCTGGTTCCTCTAACAGCGCTGGAGTATGTTCTGTAATCGGCTCTGTCTCCACTGCATCTCTTTCTGGGGCAGTTTCAGCAGGAGTACCCAAGGTGGATTCACCATCAGCCACAACCTCACCTTCTCCCGTATCTTCTACAATGGCTACTTCGCTCACGGAAATTTGACTTTCTGCTCTTGGTGGCTGCTCTGCAGGAGTACTCACTATTGAAGCCCGTTTACTACCAGCTACTTCTTCTCCTTGAAACCTAGTGAGTGAGGTTTGCTTAGACGCAACTTTCCTAACAGAATGAACAGATGCTTTTGACCCAACTCGTACTATTTCTGTTTTACTAACCTTCCTTTCTTCCGATTTTAACCCTTCAGCTTTTTTTTCTTCAATAAGACCAGCTGGCGTTGGAGCTTGGATATTTTCTTTATCTTTTGCCTCAGCTGTTTTCTTCAATTTAGATTTATGTGGTATTGGAAAATATAATTTATACTCGGGAGGCAATTCGTCTTCCGGAAGCAACCTTTCTGCAAAATATATTCTTCGTAATCGTATATTTGCATTTATTTTCAATTTCTGCACCTCAACATACTGTTTTTTATAAGCCCGCCGAGTGAACTCGGCCAAATTGAATTGAATTTGATTCCAACCATCAGAAAGGCCGATAGGCATTACAGTGCAAAGTGGCAGAATTTGGGTGGTGCTCTGGAAATTTGAAACACGAAATCTTCGGCGCGTGCCTGTTTCATCTAGAATGGTTACTTCGAACGTAAAATACTTCTTTAGGTTCTTAACTATCATAACCAAAAATGGCATGGTTATACCCAAAACAGTGCTACCCTTTGGGCAAGTCATATATGTTGTGCTTACATTAGTTCCACCTATTTCTAAAACCATAGACTTGATATCTTGATCTAGGAACCTCGTGATATATCCATCTTGGGTATGTGTGTCCCAAATATTTAATGGTTTAGCACCACCGCTAAAGAATACTGTTAACATACCTCGTTGATAAGCATTTCTATACATTTTCCTAAACTAAATATTTTTAGAACGTGTTTCTTCTTCTTTTTCTTATTTAAGATGGCTTAGTTATTTTTTCGCAAATATCACAATACCCAAAATGAATCGTTGACACTGACATTAAAATGATTATCTAGCAAATAAAGTGACTTAGAAATCAGAAATTATTCATATTCCTCAACTTCAAAAGAGTATTTCATTCTTTAGTATAGAGAAGGTACCATAATTATTATTCATTTTGTAAATTAGTAAGATAACCAAGTTTTATACTTTATTATTTTTTTAGGCCTCATATTCACGGTGGATTTAAATAAAAGGAAATACGAATGGAGACGTACACAAATTACGAAACGTTCGGCAACAATGCTAATTTCCGGCGGCGCCGTCACTGAAGTACTTTTAAGTTAAGCGGTTGAATTCGGTCCTTTATTTTCAACTAACAAAGAGACAATATTACCGATATGTAGCTATATTTATTTATACCTATATTTTTCATAACATAATCTTTATGTTGATATTATTACCGGTTGTAATCAAGACTAAATTATATCAAAATAAACTTATTAGAAACATTAACTTGAATACTTCTTAATTCTAAAATAAACCCAATGAGTTATAAAAGTCCATTTTCGTACTTCATTTTATGTTACATTACGTCCAAAATTCGATAGGAATTTTGGAGTTACTTACGCACCAACCAAAAACAGCCGCAGGTTATAAATGAGAGGTCGTCAGAAGGAAACAGAAAAACTTCCACGAATACGTAGAAATAAAACTTTTAAAAGAAAAGCTCGCTTTCGCTATGATTTATCTGGCCATTTATCATCCTCGACACTAGGAAAATATGTCACGCAAACCCACAAGTAACGTTCACACACGGTTCGTAACAAAAATAACATTTTTGTCGTCTCTAAATCACGTGACTTTTCCACTATGCGTCGCCCTTAGAGACAGCCGAGCACGCTGGCAAAAAATCTGAGCGACGAGGAACAAAGGAAAAATGAAAAAGTGCCTTTCCACTGTCATGATAAGAAGTGCATGGGCGTGTTTAGACCTACTATTCTGACGTAGCACCTACCGCGGCGAAGCAGCAATGCGTCGCTGCTTTTTCCAACGAATAATATTTTTTGCTGCGTTATAGATCGTTATGTAGCACTCTGTTTTTTATATCACAGGGGTGGGACCCACATGCTACGAAGTTAAGATATCATTGCTATTTTCCGAAACCAATGGAGTAGAAAACGGTTGTCGATAATAATAACGGCCGGCGGAGAGCGGATGAATGAATAATGTTTGCCTAAGTTATTTTCGCTGCATCAACCGCCTATTTGCTTATGTTAATGAGGCGTTTAGTGTTCCACCCGCGGCGTAATAGCTTACAGTGTGAAGGCTGTATTGAGAAGGAATTGATGGTTGACTTGTTATTAGTAAATTAACGAATGCGGCTTCTTGTCAGTAGGAGTATCGCCGTAAAATCAACACTTCGCCTGCGAATGGAGCGCGAACGATCTAATTCAGAGACCGGTGGAAAAAGACGATTGTTGAAAAGGAAAAAAGCGGCGTCGAGATGTGCCTGGTATATTTACAGAGCTCATTGCTCGGCGCAACGAGGCGTGGTCTGCATAATGTATCGAACCGGCGCCCGATTCCGGCATAGCTTTGTCTGCTTTATTTACAACCGCGCCGTGTATTTCGCGCGGAAATTGGATTTGTAAAATAAGACACTATATAAATAATCTTCATTTAAGCATATCTCAATAAGGTCGTTCACCACTCTAAGTATCTTTTATTCTGTATGGTTTTAAATTTTTATTCCAGAGATATGGATAGTGTTATTACTTTCGTCCATAATTGACCGTTTTGTCTTTCGTTTTGAGCAATCCATGGCATACTTAGAACGTAAGACTCGAATCGCACTTTATTCTTAATCACTACTATTTACAGCATCTTTGGTATCGATCAGAGCGTCAAGTACAAGCTGCGCCTCAAGTAATAACTAATCACTCCTCGTAAAAAAAACGGTCTTTAATTTTCATGGCGACAAAGATAGCATATAGAACCAGTGCCGACATCTAACAGCAGTATTCACAGACGTCAATCAACTTATAACGTATCATTATTGCTATTACTTGCTTTGCTTTTTTCAATAAAGAAAAATGACGCATAATTTTAATGATGCACAAATAAATGACTAATCTATCTAAATGACATCTCGTTTATTTGAGGTAGATAGGTCAGACTCAGTTTAGGTATGGTTTAAGTCGTACTAAGAGGAGTACGGCCGTAATGAGCTTAAAAGCTACACAAACGAGGCTACTGTGTCGCCACAACCGCACGCATTACGTAGCAGAGGATAGGACTAATTTTTCGGCGGAGTTTTTTCTAACATTCGCCAGCAGCCCCGCTCCGAGTCTGGAAATAATAGCCGTCGGGCCGCGGACAATGTATCGAAATTAATATCCGGCCGGAGAGCCGGACAATTTGTCCTCCCGGAATGCGGATAATTAAACGGACCGACCGAAGAGGACGTGGAGGACAACGAAGACTCGTTTAAGCTAGAAAATATTTCCAGCGAAGACTTAACGAAACTGTAGCGCGTGACGTTTTTAAGTTGGTATTTTAGCAAAAAGCCGTGCATAAAACAGGCTACCTATAAACATACATCCGACTAACATTACATTAGTCAAAACGAATTTTAAGTCTGAGTTATTTGTACCAGATCTTGATTTCTTATACCTTATATATTTTAAGTAATTTCTTATAACTTATACAAAGAAATAATATGTTTATTTAAAAAAGTTGGCTTTTGTAGCTATCAAAATGAAATTTAAAGAAAATTGCTAACATTTTTCTTGGAGTTGTATAAAACAAAAATAATATTTTTTATTTATTTAAGTCGCTTTTACATATCTCCTCGAAATCACAGCTCTCTAGTGCCAAGAGTCTGCAAGCAAAACCTCGGACGGACAGACAGACGGACATGGCGAGTTTCGCCATAAGGGTTCCTTGTCAGGACTACAGAACCCTAAAAAAGACAACGTCTGTCGGGTGCGCTGCTTGTTTTATAATCACACACCTACCTATGTAGACAGTCTTAAGAATTGCTCAGCTAAAAGAGTTAGATACATTATAGGAAATGACACGTAGCTAAATCATTTTGACGCTTGCACAATTTTATGGAAAGATTTCATTTTTACGAGCTTGCCTTGTGGAGCGTTTTTTACTGCTCGCATCTAATGTAGTCTGTAGTAATAAGTAATAAAACATTCCAAAACGTCTGTGGACAAGGTTTCCATAAAGTTAAATTTGAATTGAAAAGTAAAAAAAAATCTAAGTAGTGAAAACTTAAAATTGCGCAAGCCCTGTAATAGTTAGATCTTGTCATAGTCAAGTCGGTGGACCGCTAAAGAAGGAGTTTTTTTTTATAGATAGGTCCGACAAATGAGTCCACCCCACCTGATGTTAAGTGATGGTGAAGTCCAGACGTGAAGATAGCTGGTACAGCAGTTCTACCTGCCACACTTTATGTTATATTTCCATTATTGTTGCTAGGAAGTCGAAAAACTTTTTTGTTCAATGCTCTCTTTAACCGCAGTCCCCTGATTTGACGATTTCTATATCTAACTATAAACATTTTAATTTTTCACGATGATTTTATGGTGTCGAGGTATATTTTTTTTTTAAATATTCTATTTAATTCTTATTTCAATATTTTTAAAGTCTTAGTAGAAATACAGCTTACAAGGTTTCTATCGTCATTTTTTAATTAGGCTATTCTTATAAGCGCCAACACGCTAAATCTGATTAAAGTAACTGAGGAGTTGAGTACCTATTTGATCAATCAATCATGAAGTCAAGAAAATTTTAACCTTATACAAGGGCGACTTATTTGTTGTTGTCTTATAATTGAAAAGTGAAGAAAAGTAAAGAAAGTGAATAAAGATGAAGTTAGACGAACAGTCAAATAACATTTTTTTTATAATTTGATCATTTAAAGTTGTTTCGTTTGCGAAACAACTTTAAATGATCAAATTAGTTATCAGACAAATCTGAAGAAGCGTCTCAGCCAGTCTTTATAACTAACCGAACTATTCTCTATCTTACAACAAGTAAAGAACATAATTAATAATCGATTAAGTAATTTTCGTATACCTACTGAGATACATATCGATTCCACTCAGTTTCGATAACTAGAGGAACTTTCTCGCTTTGTTAAACCTAAGTAATATTGACTATAAATAATGTTCCACCATTATTGTAGATTAACATTTCAAACTGCTATGACATTTTAACTAGTTTACTCTGTCTTTTTGCACACCTTTGTTGCTCTTTCAATCACAAAGAATGTGATATATTAAAAGAAAGGTGGCGGATTTTCCGCACGATTTTGAGCGACCGTCTGGGGAAGCAACCTCCACCTTATTACCTTAGAAGACCGCAGAAAATAACACTACCTTTTGGGGGTGCTGTGTTTCTGCTGGTGAGTAGAGCTCCAGGGCTCCGCGAGGATTGGGTTCAGCCCGACAAGGTGAGGATGGTTGGAGCGGCACACCTTCTGCCGCATCATCTATCTTCGTGACTGGACCCCTCTTACACGTAACATCAGATGCAGTGGCGCAATATGATGTGGTATATTTTAATTACCTTATAAGGTCATATGAGAATGCACGGTTGGTTACGAAATATGTGTTTCTCCAGGTTTAATAAAATCTGTCTGTTGGACATACTTGACAGTCTTGCATTGCTTGACTTGTTAAAGTACATAATTAGCTTGAACTTATCATTCAAAGCACGAAATTTCATTCGAAGAGAAGAAATGTAGGATAACGTCACATCACTTCGATAATGTTACATTTGTCAAAGCTGCTGTTTAGCTGCTGATGCATACACGCATCCCTATTTAAATAGCGAATGGTATCTAATTAAAACCATAATCTTAAACATCAATCGCTCAAATTTCGAATTCAAACGCATACATTACTTTATCCTTTGTATACTTACTTACTTACAGCGTGTTCTGTGATTCCTCTTTCCACGGCGATTCTTCATTCGCTGCACTGCAAAATATTGGTTATACGATTAAAAAAGATATATGAAAAGCCCAGTTTAAAAATCG